ATATATATATATATATATATATATATATATATATATATATATATATAATATTACATATTTCAAGATTAAAAAAAAAAACTTATAGAAAATTAATGTACAAAATAACATTTTTAATAAATTAATAAAAAAATTATAATTGGTAAAAAATAATAAAAAAAATAATTCAAACTTTTGTCTAAATATTATGAAGAAGAACATTAAATGATTGTTGAAAAAAAATGTATGATCGATAGAATTCCTGAAAAAAAGTATATTTATCAAATAAAAATTTATTTATTAAAAATATAATTATTTATTAATCTTTTGATGATAAAATTTTTTATAGATTATAGAAAATATTTTTTTTATATACTTAATTTAGATTTCTTGCAAAAAGTTCATTCTCCATAACGAGCTTTAATCTATAGCATAGAAAGAGTTAAATTTTTTTTAGGGAATCAGCAAGAATTTATAAAAAAAGAAGTAAGTTTCCACTTATAACATACTTAACTTTTGGTTTTCTTAATATAAAAAATTTAACCTTCGTAACATGCTTTAATCTGGGGAAAGGTTAATTTTTTTTCAAGAAACCATCAGATATTTATAAAAAAGAAATGACTTCGCTTATGACACGTTTAATTTTTGGTTTCTTTAATGCAAAAAGCATAAGCTTTAATTAAATGATGAGAAAAAGATTTGGAAAAAATTTCGGTAATGGTTAAGAATATTTACTAACAGATGGGAAAAAATCGTAGAAAAAGTTGACTCCGTCTATAACTAAAAGGATTAACCTAGGCCGGCAATTCATACAGAATGGTTTACAACCATCCGTGTTTGAAGGGTTAAGTTTTAGAAACGATGGATTATCCTTTCAAATCTTTTCAACCTTTTTTCCCCCTTTTTTTTTTGTCCAGGATTAATAAAAGATTTTTTTAAAAATTGATAATTTTTGACAATCGTGCGAACAACTTTTTCAAAAGATTTTTTATGTTTGCAACTATTAAATACATAACATTTTTATTTTAATCTTTTTAAATTAATAATTAATTTCCTAATGGATATTTGAATTTGAAATTTTCTAGATCTTGAATGAATTTGCAAAAATCCATTAACAGATTGTTTTGAATATCCATAAAGAGTGCATTGATCATTACATTCATCATGTCTATTATTTGCATTTTTTGCTTATATTTTTAATATGAATTAAGAGTTTTCCGTTTTTTTTAAAGTATTTTATGTTTTACCGCTTGTTAATATTTTAAAGCTTGTATTTTCAATGCAACATTGACGGAGAGCATAGCGGTTTTAAATTGTCCTGGCTATTAACGGAATTTCTTCGCAATTGTAGGTACTATCGGTACTTAAGAAGCTTATAATTGGGTTTTCATAATAAAATATGATCAATGCAATTCAACGTCTAATACAAAAAAAGTCATTGATGGCATATTATCCTCAGTATATTAACTAATAATTATAATTCCAACGAAGACATTGAATCAATAAAAGATATTGGTAATATTTTTGTTTTTTGTCAAAAATTATTAATTAATATATTTATAAATATATATTATTTTTTAATATATTTATTATTTCTATCGTTTAAAAATTAAATATCACATCAAGGAAGATAATAAATAGCTATATAAATATCGTATCTATAGAATATTATTTCCAAATCTTTTTGATTTAGCAAGAAAAAAATAATTTCTATATTTAGTAAAATTTTAATACAATTTTTGCAATATAATTGTATCGTCACATGTTACATGTTATAGAGAATTATGTATTCTAAAATATGCTATAGAAT